ATTTTCTTAATTGTTTGGGGTTTGTTTTCGTAGGTCCTTTTCTTCTCTTGTGTTTCCCACTTAGAGAAGTTCCTTTAGCATTTGTTGTAGAGCTAGTTTGGTGGTGCTGAATTCTCTTAGCTTTTGCTTGTCTGTAAAGCTTTTGATTTCTCCATCAAATCTGAATGAGATCCTTGCCGGGTAGAGTAATCTTGGTTGTAGATTCTTCCCTCTCATCACTTTAAGTATATCATGCCACTCCCTTCTGGCTTGTAGAGTTTCTGCTGAGAAATCAGCTGTTAACCTTATGGGAGTTCCCTTGTATGTTATTTGTCATTTTTCCCTTGCTGCTTTCAATAATTTTTCTTTGTCCTTAATTTTTGCCAATTTGATTACTATGTGTCTCAGCGTGTTTCTCCTTGGGTTTATCCTGTATGGGATTCTCTGCACTTCCTGGACTTGGGTGGCTATTTCCTTTCCCATGTTAGGGAAGTTTTCAACTATAGTCTCTTCAAATATTTTCTCAGGTCCTTTCTCTCTTCTCCTTCTGGGACCCCTATAATGCAAATGCTGTTGCGTTTATTGTTGTCCCAGAGGTCTCTTAGGCTGTTTTCGTTTCTTTTCATTCTTTTTTCTTTATTCTGTTCCACAGCAGTGAATTCCACCATTCTGTCTTCCGGGTCACTTATCCGTTCTTCAGCCTCAGTTTTCTGCTATTGATTCCTTCTAGTGTATTTTTTACTTCATTTATTATATTGTTCATCTCTGTTTCTTTGTTCTTTAATTCTTCTAGGTCTTTGTTAAGCATTTCTTGCATCTTCTCTATCTTTGCCTCCATTCTTTTTCCGAGGTCCTGGATCATCTTCACTATCATTATTCTGAATTCTTTTTCTGGAAGGTTGCCTATCTCCACTTCATTTAGTTGTTTCTCTGGGGTTTTATCTTGTTTCTTCATCTGGTACATAGCCCTCTCTCTGCCTTTTCATCTTGTCTATCTTTGTGTGAATGTGGTTTTTCTTCCACAGGCTGCAGGATTGTAGTTCTTCTTGCTTCTGCTGTCTGCCCTCTGGTGGATGAGGCTATCGAAGAGGGCTGTACATGTTTCCTGATGGGAGGGACTGGTGGTGGGTAGAACTGGGTGTTGCTCTGGTGGGCAGAGCTCAGTGAAACTTTAATCTGCTTGTCTGCTGATGGGTGGGGCTGAGTTTCCTCCCTGTTGGTTGTTTGACCTGAGGCGACCCAGCACTGGAGCCTACAGGCTCTTTGGTGAGGCTAATGGCAGACTCCAGGAGGGCTTATGTGAAGGAGTACTTCCCAGAACTTCTGCTGCCAGTGTCCTTGTTCCCACGGTGAGCCACAGCCACCCCCCGCCTCTGCAGGAGACCCTCCAACACTAGCAGGTAGGTCTGGTTCAGTCTCCTGTGGGGTCACTGCTCCTTCCCCGGGTCCCGATGCGCACACTACTTTGTGTGTGCCCTCCAAGAGTGGAGTCTCTATTTCCCCCAGTCCTGTCCAAGTCCTGCAATCAAATCCCTCTAGCCTTCAAAGTCTGATTCTCTAGGAATTCCTCCTCCCGTTGCCGGACTTCCAGGTTGGGAAGCCTGACGTGGGGCTCAGAACCTTCACTCCAGTGGGTGGACTTCTATGGTATAAATGTTCTCTAGTTTGTGAGTCACCCACCCAGCACTTATGGGATTTGATTTTATTGTGATTGTGCCCCTCCTACCGTCTCATTGTGACTTCTACTTTGTCTTTGGATGTGGGTTATCTTTTTTGGTGAGTTCCAGTGTCTTCCTGTCGATGATTGTTCATCAGTTAGTTGTGATTCCTGTGCTCTCGCAAGAGGGAGTGAGCACATGTCCTTCTACTCCACCATCTTGAACCCGAGCCTTCCAGACCTTTAGTCCTGTTTGTCAGTTTCTGATGAAGCCAAACTCAAGAGCACATGGCCAGTCATGTGCTAATAATACTATTAAGTATTTTAAGATGGCTCTATGTACATATATCCAATCATCACATAGTACACATTAAATATATAACAATCTTATTTGTCAGTTATACCTCAATAAAGCTGAAATTTTAAATTAAAAAAAAAGATAGCTATAAATGATATAAATGAAAAACAGATGTACAAGAAGTCTAAATGAATGGAGATATGCCAAAATGATAATAGTGACTGGGTTAGGCTAGTGTGATTCTGGAGTTTTTTTGGCTTTTGTGTGTGTGTGTGTGTGTGTGTGATTGTGTTTTCTAAATGTTTTATAATATAGTTTGTATTTCTTTCTTAGGAAATTTGTGTTCATCGTAAGTATAGTTTTAAGTAGGTAATAATTAAATTGGGAAATACAGAAAGGGAAATAAGAAGAACAAAACCACCCGTAGTCCCACCACTCAAATATACTTACTGTTTACTTGGTGTGCTTCTAGTCTTTTTGTTTGTTTGTTTTTTCTTCCACTGTGCTGCACTGCTGGTGGGATGAGATCTTAGTTCCCCAACCAGGGATTGAACCCCAGCCCATGGTAGTGAAGCACTGAGTCCTAACCACTGGACCACCAGGGAACTGCCTCTAGTCTTTTTTTTAGAATCATAGAATGTATGTGTTTTTTAAAAATTGTAATCATTTTGTGTAATTCTTTTTATCATTTACTGTCACTTTAGTAATAATTCTATTCCTTTTTTGATACTAAAAATCACCCTTTGGACAAAGCTGTTTCCGGGAAACCTCAGTGCATCATTGAGTTGCATCAGGATCCTAGAAATCTGACCTTAAAATAATTTTTTTATACTCTTATTTGTGTGGTATGTTCATGTACGTGGAGACCTCTTCAAAAGCCAGTGAGGGAACAGGTGAAAACAGTAAGAAGAAAAGAATTTTAGAATTTATTGTGCAACGTCAAATGAGCCCACTAAGGGTGGTCATAGGAAATTGTTCAAGGTGAGGTACCAGCAGGGTCCAGCCGTGTGCCAGCGCCACCTAGTGGTTTTGCTTATGAACCATCTGCATCCTTGGTCTCACTTCTGTGAGTCTGAGAGCTGGGCCCCTGGGTTCTAGGCCTTGCTCCAGGACTCTGCCTCTCATCTCTGCTTAGCCTACTGAAAATGGAGCAAGATTACTGTCAGCACACGAGCGCCTAGGAGATGTACATATAGTTGCTTGCATGATGAGTACCCAAGGGGCACTGAGTAAAAGGCTGAAGGGCTCAGGAATCTATGAAACGAAACATTCAACTGGGAAGACAGAAGTTTGGAAATCTGGCCCGTGAGATGCCACCAAATTATCATCCTGTTTACGAATCTCTTTTTTAATAAATCTCTTCTCCACTTGTAACTCATTTACCTTATTATCCGAAAAAATGTGTGTCCGTCCTTTCTCTGACAGATGTTTTGATTAGGCTCTTGAGGTGCCAGGAAGTGCAAGAGAAGACACCCTGGTTTGTTAGAGCCGTTAAGGGCTGATAGGAATCCAGTTCTACCACTTACTGGCCCTGTGGCTCAGGCTAAGTCACTTAATCTTTCCCCACTCAGTTTCCTCATTCCTCAAATGAAGATAATCATAGCTTTTTTGCTAGGTTATAATAAGGCCGATAGCCATTTTTATAATAAAAATCTTTATTGTTAAGTCAGATTATGTCAAGACAATTAAAAATTAATTCTGTTTAGTAATTCCAGGACACACAGGTTTTTCCGTTTTTTCACGTTTCTGAAGCAGGATATGTTGGTGACATGCCAGTGTTTTTGCTTTCTTAACAGTTATGTAAAATGTACTCCTTACACTCTCTGGTATTGTAAATGAAATGTGATAATTAGGTCAGCAGAGTGTTTGAGACTCTCCAGGGAGAACTGTTTTAAGTGCTCTTGGTTGGTATCTGTAAACCCTGAACATGACAACTGGTTATATGAGGTCTGATGGTGACAGTTCCCTCACTGCTCTGTTACCAGTCTCAGATGTGAACCTATGAGCTACCCTTTCTAGGAAGTTCATTTGGAAGGCGTATGTTGAGGGACTTCCCTGGCGGTCCAGTGGTTAAGACTGCACTTCTGTTACCGGGGTCATGGGTTTGATCCCTGGTCGGGGAACTAAGATCCCTCATGCTGCACGAGGCAGCCAAAAAGAAGAAAAAAAAAAAAACTGAAAAGGAAAGCGTGTGTTCTAAAGTCACTGAGATTACATAGAGCACGGTTCATAATTCAGCAGCCTGTAGCATTTAGCACCACACAGTACACATGAAGTGAGTAATGGTGGGCTGTTTTGAAGAGGGTACGTAGGAGGGTGGATGTAATCCCTTCTCTAATTCTGTTGGTTCTTTCTCTGCTGTATAGACCGCAATAGGTTTTACAGGCATATCTTGTTGTATTGTACTTTACTGTGCTTCGCAGATATTACATTTTTTATGAATTGAAGGTTTATAGCAATCTTGCATCCAGCAAGTCTGTCGGCATCATTTTTCCAACAGCCTTTACTCACTTTGCGTCTCTGGGTCACATTTCAGTAATTCTCGCAATATTTCAAATTTATTCATTATTATTATAATTGTTATGCTGACCTGTGATCACTGATCTTTGATGTCACTATTGCAAAAAGATTACAACTCACTGAAGGCTCAGATGATAGCACCTTTTGACGAAGTATTTTTAATTAGGGTATGTGCATATTTTTTTAGACATAATGCCATTGCACACTTAACAGACTACAGTGCAGTGTAAACATAACTTTTATACGCACTGGGAGGGACTTCCCTGCCGGTCCAGTGGTTAAGACTCTGCTCTTCCACTGTAGGGGGTGCAGATTCCATCCCTGGTCAGGGAACTAAGATCCCACATGCCGTGCAGCACAGCCAAAAAAAGAAAAAATTTCTTTTTAAAAAAAAAAACAGATGTATGCACCGGGAAACCAAAAAGTGTGTGTGATTTGCTTTACTGCAAATAAAGCAGTAAACGGAACCTGCGGTAGCTCTGAGGTCTGCCCGTACTCTCCACCTCCTTGGCAACTGTCCCTAGTCTTTTTCTCTCTGTCTTTCAGTCTAATAAAGTTCCTGTTGTTCAGCACCCGCACCACATGCATCCGTTGACGCCCCTCATCACCTACAGCAACGACCACTTCTCCCCCGGCTCCCCTCCCACGCACCTCTCCCCAGAGATCGATCCAAAGACAGGTGAGTCAGGGCCTGCTCAGGCTGGACCAGCTCCACAGCTCCAGTGAGGGCGGGCTTTTCTTCTCGGGGAGTATTTCAGCCCTGGAATCGGACAGACCTGGGTGCAAACCATGTCTCCAGCTCTCAGTCGTCTCTAACCCTGCCCACTAAGTTTAGCCCTTTCAGTTCGCTCCTCAGTGCCTTGCGTGTCCCTTCTGCATCCCTGGGTCATTGTGAGGATGAAAGGAGATTAAATGAGATGATGCACAGGGCCTGGCTCCACAGCATTTGGCGTTGCTCTGCCACTGCTGCTTCTATGTTAGAATGTCTTAAAACTTTAAGATTGGAATGACCTGGAAGGGGAAAAAAAAATCTCCTTTCTCATTGACTTTGAAGTCTAGCCGGCTGCAGGCTGCGCCTCCTTAAACCAAAACCTAGGCCCCAAACTGATCATATAGAAGTAAACAGTCTAGCCAGACATAAGTATAGCTATAAAGCAGTAGACTGAGTTGGCTTCTTGTTTTTAACTTGCTCACCCAAACTCCATCCCAGAGGGAGCCAGAGTCTTCATAGAATTCCCATGGCGTTTCCATGGGTCAAAGCATTTTTGGAGCTTCTCTTGAGACATCAAGCTACTACGAGTTACAGATAATAAGGAGGACAAATGTGGAACAGAGATCCAAAGTTTATCTTTCCATGAATGAGGCAGCTTTTCTAGCTGATGACTCTGGGGATATCTTGGGTCTCTCAGTCCAAAATTTCCTGCCTGTGTCTTGGACGACGCCTGTATGAGCAGCTGGAAGTTACTGGTGACAGAGGGCAGGGATAATAAAAGAAAGGGCCTTCCAAGCTCCAGGGCACCTGGGAATATAGGGCAAGGAACCTCCTGTTTGATATTATTTTAAGGTGTTAATGTAGGGCCAAGGAATTGTCTGACACATCTCTCTTTGGAAGCAGGAATCCCCCGGCCCCCTCACCCATCTGAGCTGTCTCCGTATTACCCACTGTCTCCCGGAGCTGTCGGGCAAATCCCCCATCCCCTCGGCTGGCTCGTCCCACAGTAAGGAAACTTACAGCCTTTCTTACCCTCCCTCCTTCCTTATGCTGAGTTCTAACTTCTGTACCTCCAGCCGGTCCTGGTGGTCTGTATACAGACGCCCCCCCCCTTCCCCCACATAGAGCCCTCTCACCAAAGCCCAGGACTCAGACCTCCCTGCTCTCCCCAGGGCAGTGTCCCCCCAACTCTTCCTTCCTACTTCCTGCCTTTACTTATCATCCTTTCTTCCCAACCGCCTCTCCTTCCCTGTCCTGAACAGTCCCATTTTAGCCAATTTGCTAACCAGATTTCCTTGCTCCTGGCCCTTATAGGCAAGGACAGCCCATGTACTCCCTTCCTCCCGGCGGCTTCCGGCACCCCTACCCTGCGCTCGCCATGAATGCCTCAATGTCCAGGTGAGTCCTGGGACTGGAGCTGTGAGCAGGAAGTGGCAGTGCAGGGAATGGTTGTCTACCAGCATCCCTGCCATTTCTGACCGTTACACAGCTTTCTCTTGGCAGTAAGCGAGGAGGCAGGTGCTCACCTTTCCTCCTTCCTCTCTGATAAGGTGGGGATGGAGACCATAGGCTCAGCCCACTCTTGCCCCATCTCTCTAAGAGAAGCATTTCAAAGCCCTCACACTCAACCCTCCTGCACGTCCCCTCACAGGCTGGGCTGGGCTTTGTGGCACTGAAGCATTTTGAGTACATCACTCTGAAGCTGGGAGATTAATTGTTCCTGCAATGATGTCAGGAGAGGGGAACAGCGAAAGGGGATTTCTGTCTCAGTAGCCGATCTACCTGACAGTGGTACCGCCAATGACAAAAGAAGTGCAGCCCACAGCCTGAGCCCTTCTTTCCCCCCTGTGTACTCTGGCCTCAGACCCGCTGCCTCTTCTTTTGTGTTTTTCATCCTACCTGCTTTTAGCACCAGATATAGGAAACCTGCATGCTTGTGGGGGAAGGGAGGTTTGTTGGGTGTTTCCCAAACCGGTTCTGTCGAGGTCAGTGCATGGCCTTCCGTTGCTCCAACACTGCCCCAGCAGAGGTGTTTACACGCCTCCGCCATCAAGACTGGGGTCCCGCCACATCCTCTGTGGGTGACAAGCATTCTGCCTGAATCCCTCGTTGTCTTTGTTTCCATCTGGTACATAGCCTGGTTTCCAGTCGGTTCTCCCCTCACATGGTGGCTCCGGCCCATCCTGGTCTGCCCACCTCAGGGATCCCCCACCCCGCTATCGTCTCCCCCATCGTCAAGCAGGAACCGACGCCCCCCAGCCTGAGCCCGGCCGTGATCGCGTGAGTAACAGGCAGCCTGATGGGGGGTGGCCAGTCTCTGAGCAGCGAGTACCATTGGTTGCTTTCTTGGGGACATACAGCTGGCAGCCCGGCAGCTTCCTCAACTACACCCTCTCCCTTGGGAACTGTTCCCTTTGACCCCTGGAGTTCCCATCCTCTCAGAGACACCGTGCATCTCTTCTCCCATTAAGGAAGGTTTTACAACCAGGACTTTGAGGCTGAAAGAGAACCTGAGAGAGCTTTTAGCTTCCTTCTCCCCCTCCCACCCCGCCCCCCATACACTCGAAAATTGTAAGGCCCCAGAAAGGAGAATATTCTCAAGGTCACATGGCTGACCGGTGGCAGAGCTGCGCCCAGCACCAAGGCCTGTGCTTTGTCCACTGTGCCATAAAGACAGTAGGAAAGCCAAAGTCGGTGCCTCGTAGCCGAGGAGACCTCCTCTCTCCGTTTCTGCCTAAAGTGCCCTGCCCCCTCCTCTTTCTCACCTGGGCCAGTGCGTCCCAGCTCTCACCACCACCCTCTGTTCCATTGTCAGGAAGTTGTCCTTTCCTGGAATATGGCCGGAGGTCTGTCAGAGGCTAGGAGCTAGGTGCTCAGGCTCTGAAAGCAACCCCGGGCAACTTACATTATTGTCCAAGCAACAGCATCTCCCCTCCCCAGAGGCAGACAGCCCTTAGCCTCCTCGAGGGATGACAGCTGATACCAGCTAACCTACAGCCTTATGACTTCCCAGGAAATCACCTGTCACAGTGAAAAAAGAGGAAGAAAAGAAACCCCACGTGAAGAAGCCTCTTAATGCCTTCATGTTATATATGAAGGAGATGAGGGCCAAGGTGGTGGCCGAGTGCACCCTGAAGGAAAGTGCAGCCATTAACCAGATCCTGGGGAGAAAGGTAAGGCCTGCCCTTATGCTCCAGGCTGTGCGGCTCAGCGTCCCCCACGCTCACCGCTCTGTCGTTGCTGGTCCTCTCTCCCGCAGTGGCACAACCTGTCCCGAGAAGAACAGGCCAAGTACTATGAACTGGCCCGGAAGGAGCGGCAGCTTCATTCGCAGCTCTACCCGACCTGGTCAGCCCGAGACAACTACGTACGTGCCCATCAGACACCAGGAGCAGCCTCTGCACGAGGAAGAGGGGCAAAGGAAGCTGACTCCATTGATAGAGGACCCTGTCAACGGAGTCAGCTTCCAGGGAGGCCAGGGAGAAGTCTGTATTTCTCTAGAAATAAGGAAGACGTTTTAGTTCTCGGGAGGGCAACAAGGCCATGGTTTGGTATCCTGGGGACAGAATCAAATTTGTGCCTGTCCCATTGGAAGTGGACTCAGCCTTTAATTCCATAATTCAGGGTGCAGTGTGAGCTGTGTGCTAGCTCTGTGGTCAGTGTCTCTAGCCAAGGGTTGCCAGCCTGGGGCTCAGAGACCGATGCGTAAGCCGCTGCCTGCGTTTCTGATGACTCCCTGAAACTGGGAAGGTTTTTGTATGTATATTGTTACTTGCTTTTTTTGTGCCAAAAGGCTGCATAGCTACGTTAGTTTTTTGGGGTTTATTTGGGGTTTTTTCCCAATTGAACCCACGCCCTCGGCAGTGAAAGCACAGAGTCCCTAACCACTGGACAGCTGGGGAATTCCCAGCTGCATTAGATTTTCAGTGAGACCTGGGACCCCTCAGAAAAGATCAGGAACCTTACACGGTTCTAGGAAGAGAAATGGAAAAATCAGCCTGAAGGGCAGGAAAAGAATGAGGCCTTCCAAGAAAGCCAGGCCACCGGAGCTGGAGGGAAGGGATCCAGTGGGGGAGGGAAGCAGTGTTCCAGGAAGGCTCACTGTGCCACCTGGTGAGGCTGCTGCGGGGAGTGTGATCTGGGTGCCCAGTGCAGGAAGTATCCTGTCTCCCCGCTTCATAGCTGGGAGTCCCCCAGAAAAGCCGGTTATTCTGTGCCTGGTTACCTCTTCCTTTGACTGTATCTTTCAGGGTAAGAAAAAGAAGAGGAAGCGAGAAAAGCAGCTGTCCCAGACCCAGTCCCAGCAGCAAGTCCAGGAGGCAGACGGTGAGTGGACAGGAGGGCCCTGCATCTGTACTTCCTTTTCCCTGTCCCAGCTACACCCGCCGGTACTTTGTACCCGGGACTCTGACGGACACGGTGACAATGCCGTATGATAGCTGCCATGTTCAAGGCCTTATGTACACTTAGGGGGCTGTTATTATTATCCCCTTTTTGGAGATGATCTGTTAAGAGGCTCGAAGAAGTGAAGGGATTTTTCCAGTCACTCTGCTTGTTAAATGGTCCGGCACTTTGTCACTTGGAAGGCTCTTTCCAATTCAGTTGAGTTGTGTCTTATTTGAGGTTAGGTTCTAAAATCAGTGCATAAGGTAAAAACTGAATGTCACTGAAATGATCCTTGAAATTCCCTTAGGAAGGCAGCCCATTAGGGATGGACATATCACCTATCCGTGAATCCAATAGAATCAGGTTTTCTTCCAATGTTTGTTTGGTCGAATAACAGAAATAATTGTTCACTTGGATTGGGGGTGCCCCCTTTGTGCCACAAATATATACTGTATCTTTTTACAGCAGAATCACACCCAGCAGAGAGATGCTCACACGGTGACCAGTATTTCAGTCAAGCCTCCCATCTCATGCTCACTCCAGGACAAGTGCAGAACTTGTTAGTTCCATCTGTAGTGCTTTTTTTAGGCGGGGGGGAGGGGGGAGCTGCACCACCCAGCTTGTGGGATCTTAGTTCCCTGACCAGGGATCAAACCCAGGGCCACAGCAGTGAAAGCGCCAAGTCCTGACCCCTGGACTGCCAGGGAAGTCCCCTAAAGTGCTTTTTATCACCCTGCTTTTCTTTTCATCTCCTTTCCTACCTTTCTAATATCTGTATAATTTGCATATTCATCTCCATAGGAGTCCATGTAAGTTAACTATGTATATGATGCAAAATCCACTGTATACCACGTTGCTTAGCAGGTGCTGTACTATCTCTGACAGCACCATAAACCAAAGATCTTAAAGCAAATTGAGTGGAGATCCATCCCCAGAATGATGAGATTTCAGCAGGAAGATGAAGATGTGATAGGCTGAGCTACTTTCCTTCCAGGCAGGTTCTGAATGAGTCGTTGGCGTTTGGGCATTGCCCCTTGTCTGTGCTCTAGGTGTCTTGAAAGCCACAGCCATCACTTCAGGTTCTCACTTCCCTCCCTGTACGCATTCTTGTTTCCGGAGTTGATGTGTGCAGCTGGGCTTCCTCGGCAACCTCCGCCTCCCACCGCGCTCCTAGCTGCTAACTCTTCCGTGTGGTTTTTTTATTTCCCCTAGGTGCTCTGGCCTCCAAAAGCAAGAAGCCATGTGTCCAGTACCTGCCCCCTGAGAAGCCCTGTGACAGTCCTGCCTCCTCCCACGGCAGCATGCTGGACTCGCCGGCCACACCCTCCACGGCCTTGGCCTCCCCAGCTGCCCCGGCCGCCACCCACTCAGAGCAAGCCCAGCCCCTCTCCCTCACCACCAAGCCAGAGACCCGGGCCCAGCTGGCTCTCCACTCGGCTACCTTCCTGTCAGCGAAGGCTGCCGCCACCTCCTCTGGCCAGATGGGCAGCCAGCCCCCCGTCCTGTCCCGGCCCCTCCCCCTGGGGTCCGTGCCCACAGCTCTGCTGACGTCCCCCCCTTCCTTCCCAGCCACTCTCCATGCCCACCAGGCCCTCCCCGTGCTCCAGGCCCAGCCTCTTTCCTTGGTCACCAAGTCTGCCCACTAAGCTGCCCACTCACCTATGCAGGCTGTCACGTGACTCATCGAGTAGTAATGATGCAGAAGAAGAAGAAGAAAAAAAAAAGGAAACTTTATTGGTCAATATTTGACCACTCTGGACTGTTCTGTAAAGTGACTGGTAACAGCAGCACTTTACATTTTGTAGATGTAACCAGTAGCTGATCTTAAGGCTTTTTTAAAAAACAAAACAAAACAAAACAAAAATCTTTAAAAAACAAGAACTGAAAAGTAGTGTGTTATTCTTCCTGTATGTGCAGCGGTGGATGGACCTGGGCAGAAGGCACCTCTGTCTCTACCTCCTGGACTCTCTGCCCTCCTGCCTCTTCCCATCACCCCCCAGCATCCCAGCTTCCCCCACCCAGCCTGCATGTTGGCCATTGCTGCCATTTCTAGCCCGCAGCCTCTTCATCTACATCCCATTCCTGGACATTCCCTTTTACCTGGCCCACATTTTTCTCCTTTGCTCAGCTCCGTGGGTTCTTGCCTTCACCTTTGTCCTCTGCCCAGTGTAAGGCTGTCACCATGTGAGAAGACACCTCGGCCTCGTTTGTCTCCACCAGCATCCCTTTTCCCTCAGTGGCCCTAATGCCCCAGTCTCCAGCTTTTGGTGGGGGAGGAGGTCTTCTGCAGTGGTTCTTCCCCGCATTCAAAGGGATTCAAGGTGCCTGCCACTTCCTCAGTGAAGAAGCCTGTGTACCACCCCCTTACCAGTCGAGATGTCCCCTCACAGCCCCAGAGTGGCAGACAGGACCTGGCTCCGAGGTCTGGCTCCTGTCACCCAGGTCCGTGCCAGCGCAATCTGCCGAAGCTCTGAAGACCCTCCTCCCTCCCCCATCACCTCACATGCTTCTTCTGTGTGTATTTCTTTTCATTTTTATGGGGTTTTTTGGAGCAATTTAAACTCCCAGTTGTTTATTTTCACAAAAGAAAATAAAATTGCAGTTGCAAGACCTTTTCTGAGTATTTTAGTCCTTTTCTTGAATCAAGCCCCCTTCTTCACACCAAGCCCTGTGTGAGATTTTTGCAGACATGCAAAGGAGGAATGCTGCTTATTGAAAGGGGATATAAATCATGCCTGACACGACTAGAAAAATTCAACCCAGTTTCCAGCCTCGAATGTACACAGACCGCTCAGTATAGATAACTGAGATACAAAGGGATGAATCTTTTTATTTTCGTTTGTCTTGTAATTGCCAAGATAGGAGAGGTATCCTTGGATTGCTTTGCATGTATCTAGCACTGCAATTAATTTTTGTTGTTGTTATGGTGTTATTGAGGTATAATTCACATAACATACAATTCACCCATTTAAAGTGTACAATTTGGGACTCCCCTGGTGGTGCAGTGGTTAAGAATCCGCCTGCTAAGGCAGGGGACGCGGGTTCAGTCCCTGGTCCAGGAAGATCCCATATGTTGCGGAGCAACTAAGCCCATGCGCCACAACTACTGAGCGCGCGTGCCACAACTACTGAAGCCCGCGCTGCTAGAGACCGTGCTCCACAACAAGAGAAGCCACTGCAGTGAGAAGCGTGCGCACCACAACAAAGAGCAGCCCCCGGCTCACCGCAGCTAGAGAAAGCCTGCGTGCAGCAACGAAGACCCAGCGCAGACAAAAAAAAAAAAAAAGCACAACACATGAAGTGTACAATGGTTTTGACTGTGTTCAAAGTTGTGTACCCATCATCACACTGGACTTCAGAACATTTTCATTACTTCAAAAAGAATCCCGGGGCTTCCCTGGTGGCGCAGTGGTTGAGAGTCCGCCTGCCGATGCAGGGGACGCGGGTTTGTGCCCCGGTCCGGGAAGATCCCACATGCCGCGGAGCGGCTGCGCCCGTGGCCCATGGCCCGCTGAGCCTGCGCGTCCGAAGCCTATGCTCTGCGGCGGGAGAGCCACTGCAGTGAGAGGCCCGCGTACCGCAAAAAAAAAAAAAGAATCCCCGTACCCTTTAGAACTTACCCTCCACTTCCTCCTTCTCACACCCCCATCCCCACCTCCAGCCCTAAACAACCATGAAGCTCCTTTTTTTTTTACATCTTTATTGGAGTGTAATTGCTTTACAATGTTGTGTTAGTTTCTGCTGTAAAACAAAGTGAATCAGCTATACATATACATATATCCCCATATCTCTTCCCTCTGGCGTCTCCACCCTCCCACCCTCCCTATCCCACCCCTCTAGGTGGTCACAAAGCACCCAGCTGATCTCCCTGTGCTATGCAGCTGCTTCCCACTAGCTATCTATTTTGGTAGTGTATATATGTCAGTGCTACTCTCTCACTTCGTCCCAGCTTACCCTTCCCCCTCCCCGTGTCCTCAAGTCCATTTTCTACGTCCATGAATCTACTTTTTATCTCTGGCTTTGTCTGTTCTGGACATTTCGTTTAAATGGAATCATACACTATGTGGTCCTTTCTCCCTGACTTCTTTCAACAGAGTATTCTCAAGATTCATCCATGTTGTAACCTGTATCGGCACATCATTCCCTTTTTTTTATTTTTTATGATGGTAAAATAGATAAATAACAAAATTCACCACTTTAACCATTTTTAGGTGTACAATTCAGTGGCTTTAATTACCTTCACAGTGTTGTGCAACCATCACCACTGTTTCCAAAACGTTTCATCACCCCAGAGTCTCTATAACCATTAAGCAATAACTCCCTCATTCCCCTCCCTTCAGCTCCTAGTAACCTCTAATCTACTTTCTCTTTCAATGAATTTGCCTATTCTAAATATTCCATATAAATGGAATCATAAGACATTTGTCCTTTTGTGCCTGGCTTATTTAACTTAGCATGTTTTCAAGGTGCATTCATGTTGTATCAGAATTTCATTTTTTGCCCCGGACGCGCAGGTTCAGCGGCCATGGCTCACGGGCCCAGCCGCTCCGCGGCATGTGGTATCTTCCCGGACCGGGGCACGAACCCGTGTCCCATGCATCGGCAGGCGGACTCTCAACCACTGCGCCACCAGGGAAGTCCCTAGGATTTCATTTTTTTTAAGCCTTGTCTTCCTTTACCTTTTTTTGAGTACTTGCCAGATTTTTTTACCCTACTCAGACATACAGCTTTTTAAATTGTGGTAAATATAAAAAATATAAAATATATATATTATATATATAATATAATATATATATAAGTGGACAATCTAGTGGCATTAAGTACATTCACAATGTTGTGCAACCGTAACCACTAACAACTTCCAGAACCATTTCATCATCCCAAACAGAAACTCCAAACCTATTAAATATTAACTCCCCATTCCTCCCTCCCCCCAGACTTTAAGAACCTGCAATCTACTTTATAGCTTTATAAATGTGCCTATTTTAGGTACCTCATATAAGTAGAATACAGTACTTGTCCCTTCATGTCTGGCTTATTTCACTTAGCATAATGTTTTCAAGGTTCATCCATATTGTAGCTTGTATTGATATCAGAACTTCATTCCTTTTTATGGCTCAATAATAGTCCATTGTATGTATAAACTACATTTTGTTTATTCATCTATTGATGAACACATGGGTTGTTTCCACACTTTGGCTATTGTGAATAATGTTGCTGTGAACTTTCACATACAAATATAACGTTTGGGGCTTCCCTGGTGGCGCAGTGGTTGAGGGTCCGCCTGCCGATGCAGGGGACGCGGGTTCGTGTCCCGGTCCGGGAAGATCCCACATGCCGCGGAGCGGCTGGGCCTGTGAGCCATGGCCGCTGAGCCTGCGCGTCCGGAGCCTGTGCTCTGCAACGGGAGAGGCCACAACAGTGAGAGGCCCGCGTACAGAAAAAAAAAAAAATATATATATATATATATAAAACGTTTGAGTCCCTGTTTTCAATTCTTCGGGATTTATATGTAGAAGTAGGATTGCTGAGTCATATTGGTAATTCTATGTTTAACATTTTGAGGAATTTGCTAAACTCTTTTTCATAGCAGCTGCAACATTTTACATTCCAATCAGCAATGTTTGAGGGCTCCAATTTCTCCACATCCTCACCAACATATTATTTTCTTTTTTTTAATACAGTTTTGAAAGGTTACACTCTATTTACAGTTATTACAAAATACTAGCTATATTCCCCATGTTGTACATTATATCTTTTAGCCTATCTTACACCCAGTAGTTTGTACCACCCACTCTCCCACTGGTAACCACTAGTTTGTTCTCTATATCTGTGAGTCTGCTTTTTTTGTTATATTCACTAGTTTGTTGTATTTTTTAGATTCCACATATAAGTGATGTCATTCAGTATTTGTCTTTATCTGTCTGACTTATTTCACTTAGCATAATGCCCTCCAAGTCCATCCACGTTGCTGCAAAAGACAAAATTTTGTGGGTTTTTTTATGTCTGAGTAGTTTTCCACCGTATATATACACCACATCTTCTTTACCCACTCATCTGTTGATGGGCATTCAGGTTGCTTTCATATCTTGGCGATTGTAAATAATGCTGCTATGAACATTGGGGTGCATGTGTCTTTTTGAATTAGCATTTATGTTTTTTTTCAGATATATAGCCGGGAATGGAATTGCTGGGTCAATATGGTAGTTCTATTTTTAGTTTTTTGGGTTTTTTTTGCGGTATGTGGGCCTCTCACTGTTGTGGCCTCTCCCGTTGCGGAGCACAGGCTCCGGACGTGCAGGCTCAACGGCCATGGCTCACGGGCCCAGCCGCTCTGCGGCATGTGGGATCTTCCCGGACCGGGGCACGAACCCGTGTCCCTTGCATCGGCAGGCGGACTCTCAACCACTGCGCCACCAGGGAAGCCCTATTTTTAGTTTTTTGAGAAGCCTCCATACTGTTTTCCACAGTGGCTGCACAGATTTACGTTCCTACCAACAGTGTACAAGGGTTCCCTTTCCTCCACAGCCTCACCAACATTTGTTATTCGTGTGGTTTTTGATGATAGCCATTATGGCAGGTGTGAGGTCATATCTCATTGTGGTTTTGATTTGCACTTCCCTGATGCATTTTCCTATTTTCTGTTTTTTTATCATAGCCATCCTAGTAGGTGTGGAGTGTGTCTCACTGTGATTTTG